TGTGGCCAGGGAGTGCAGTGGAGGATGGCCCAGGTGCTTGGGCCCTGCACCCCATGGGAGACCAGGAGAAGCACCTGGCTCCTGCCATCGGATCAGCGCGGTGCACCTGCCGCAGCGCGCCAGCCGCAGTGGCCATTGGAGGGTGAACCAATGGCAAAGGAAGACCTTTCTCTCTGTCTCTCTCTCTCTCACTGTCCACTCTGCCTGCCAAAAAAAAACCCAAATAAATAAAAAATAAATAAAATAAAAGATCATTGCTATTATTATATGCAACAAAACTTACAAAAATTTCTTAATACTATTAAACTCTCAGTTACCATTAGGATTTTATGCATGGCCTCATAATTTTATATCAGATTTTAGTGTGTTCAAATAAAAATCTAAATACTCTCCAAGTTACATTTAGTTGATGCATCTCTTAAACCTATTGGTTTACCCTGCTTCTTTTTTTCCTTGCAATTTCCTATTGATTAATCCCAATTGTTTGTAGAATTTCCCACATTCTGCATTTTCATTGCAATCCCATTGGTGTTTTTAAATGAACTCCTTTGTCTCATGCATTTCCTATAAACTGGTAGTATCTGACTGTTGGTATATATTAGAGGCTGGTGAGATTCAGGTTTCAATTACTTACTTCCTATTATATCACATCAAAAGGTCGCAGCATCTAGCTGCCTTCCTTTTTTGAGATGTTATGTTAGATTAATCTAAGCATTACCAGACAGATCTTTCCATTTTAATAGTCCCCGTCAGCTATTCACATGATGGTTTAGTAGCCGTTAACCATCATTGACTGGACTCATTCTCTTCCTTGAGACTTTGAAATGGTGATGACCTACTTCTACCCTTCTTTCTTTATTTCTTATTGGTACTATTCTATGAGCCTCCTTGTCTCGTATGTAAAACAGGGACTATAACACCTGTTTGGCCAAGCCCATGGTGGAAGCTGGGAACTCAGTGTAGGTCTCCCAAGAGGAGAATTGAGCCATCACTGCTGCCTACCAGGGTGTGCGTTGCCGGGAAGGTGGAGCTGGCAGCTGGAGCTGGGAACCGAGTGCGGGTACTCTGATATGGGATGCAGGCCAAACGCCTGCCCCCATTAATGCACTCACGCAATCATCTGAGCTGCTCTTTGGCAAATCTCTTATGCTTGCAACAGAGCAGGTGGATTCCCTGCTGCCAGCAACCACTCCGGTTCCAGACGTCAATTCAGTGGATAGGAACCTGAGGCCAGTACAGGACTGCACCTTCTCAATGCCCTTCTTTTTTTTTTTAAATTTTTTTTTATTTATTTATTTTTGACAGGCAGAGTGGACAGTGAGAGAGAGAGAGATACAGAGAGAAAGGTCTTCCTTTTGCCGTTGGTTCACCCTCCAATAGCCGCCACGGCCGGTGAGCTGCGACAGGCTCACCGCACTGATCCGATGGCAGGAGCCAGCAGCCAGGTACTTCTCCTGGTCTCCCATGGGTGCAGGGCCCAAGCACTTGGGCCATCCTCCACTGCACTCCCTGGCCACAGCAGAGAGCTGGCCTGGAAGAGAGAGAGAAGGGTCTTCCTTCCGTTGGTTCACCCTCCAAATGGCCACCACAGCCTGAGCGCTACGGCCAACACTGTGCCGATCCGAAGCCAGGAGCCAGACGCTTCCTTCCCATCTCCCATGCGGGTGCAGGGCCCAAGCACTTGGGCCATCCTCCACTGCACCCCTGGGCCACAGCAGAGAGCCAGACCGAAGGAGGAGCAACCGGGACAGAATCCGGCGCCCCGACCGGGACTAGAACCCGGTGTGCCTGCCCCACAGGCGGAGGATTAGCCTAGTGAGCCGCAGCACCGGCCATGGCAACTCTCTAGAATCCGGATTTCCACTGGAGGGCACAGCATGCTTTGACCCCTCCATCTTCACCAAGGCTCTCCCACAGCTCCTCAGAGCAACAAGAAACCGCAGGGCTCTCAAATGAGATGACTCAGTGGTAAGCAATTATCAACAACTATTTCTTGAGCTTTTTAGACGCCACATCCCCTAACCGGTTCTACAAGCACCTTGGTTCTCCGAGGGCTGCTTTATAGCTTCCAGTCCGTTCTTTCTAACTTAAATCAGCCAGTCCCTGCAAGGAGCCCCAATTCACCTGCTGACTGCTAGGCTTATTTTAATCTACATTATGCAGACCAGCTTTCCATGAGCTCACTCGTGCAATAAATATTTATAGTTTGCTAGATACGGGGTCTGTATCCAGTTAAGAAAAGAAGTAAAGCCACGATCCCTGCCAAGAAAAGCTCCAACTGTGTCCGGGAAACAGACAAGTCAACAATGGTCCAGAACACAATGTTTTGAGGGCCCAGGGAGCCTGTGAGCACAAGAGAAGGTGCCTCGTTCCACTGCCACGGTCAGAGGGGGCCGCATTTGAATTGGGGGGTGAAAGAGGAAGAGGATTTTTTACCAACAAAAGGGAAGAAGGACACTGCAAATGAAGGGACAGTGCGAATGAGCACATAAGTCTCATCTCTGCCGCCCCTCTCTCAGATCAGCACTCCCCCACAACCTTCAAACACTGGAGACCCTTGGGCCTTGGGCCTGGGTTCCCACGTGCTCCCACTGGGAAGCATGTCCGACCCCGGGGAACTGAGTCTCTGTGCTGGCATCTGGTGGGCTCCTACAGCCAGCTATGGTCTTGATGTTTCCACTTGGATACTTGCAGGCCTCCTACAATCATGCTCACAATTCAGGGCCACGTGGTTCTGACACAATCTGCAAAGCTTTCTTTGCTCCCCCCCAGCCTCTCAGCAGGTCCTGCTGAAACCCTGCCCAGATGCTCCTCAGATTCCCCTCGCTTCCCTCCCATCTGTTGACACTCCCCGTGGAAGGCCCCTGCACATCCTGTCTGCATCGCCCAAGGAGTGTGACCATGCGTGACCCAGTTCTAGTCAATTCTCTAAGTTAGCACCTTTTAATGATTCCCCGGTGTATTTAAAATACCCTGCTCCCGCCCTGCCAACTCTGGGCTCTGAGGGCTACAAGACCTTGCCCTGCTCACCCTGTCAGGTCCCAGCACCCCCAGGCTCATTCCAGCTCTGCTGTGGCTCCTCCTCCAGAGCCTCAGGTGGCTGCCTCCTTCCCGTAACGTGGCAACCACAGTGCTTCCTCCTCGGAAGGGCTTGACAACCTTGCCCAGACACATTTAGTCCTCCATGTTCCCCAGGTTCTGACTTCGTGGATTCAATCAACTGAGGATCAAAAAAAAAATTTTTTTTAAATACTGCACTGGGGCCTGCACTGTGGCATAGAAGGTTAAACCACGGCCTGCAGTACCAGCATCCCATATGGGCACCGATTCGAGTCCTGGCTGCTCCACTTCCAATCCAACTCCCTGCTAATGCACCTGGGAAAGCAGTGGAAGATGGTCCAAGTGCTTGGACCCCTGAACCCACATGGAGGACCCAGAAGAAGCTCCTGGCTCCTGGCTTCAGCTTGGCCCAGACCCAGGCATCATGGCCATTTGGGGAGTGGACCAGCAGATGGAAGATTCTCTCTCTCTCTCTCTCCGTTTTTGTACTGAATATGTATAGACTTCCTTCTTCTGATTACTTCCCAAACAGTAGAGTATAACAACTATTTACAGGGCATTTGCATTGCAGTGGGTATAAGTCATCTAGTGATGATTTAAAGAGCATAGGTTGTATGTAAATACTGCACCACTTTGTATAAGAGACTTGAGTATGTGTGGATTTTGGTTTGTGCAAGAGGATCCTGGAACCAATCCCCTAAGGATGCAGAAAGGAAGACTGTATGCCCCCCTTCATGTATCCTTGTTGATGTCCTTATCAAACCTATCACGTAAGTAGTGTATGGATCTTCAATTTAAAGCATATATGTCTCCCTCATTGGAGTAAATGTACTGCTGGTTCACTCCCCAAATGACCGCAACGACCAGAACTGAGCTGATCTGAAGCCAGAGCCAGGAGCTTCTTCCATGTTTCCCACACAGGTGCAGGGACCCAAGGACTTGGGCCATCTTCCACTGTTTTCCCAGGCCATAGAAGAGAGCTGGATCAGAAGTGGAACAGCCAGGACATGAACCGGGGCCCATATAGGATGCTGGCACTGTAGGCAGGGGCTTTAACTCGCTGTGCCACAGTGCCGGCCCCAATCCTGACTATCTTGCTCTCTGTTGTATTCCTAGGGCCTGGTTCTGTGGCTGGCATGAGATAGAGTGCACAAAAATACTCGTTGGTGAGACAATGAATGAATAACAGTTTCCCTGTCCTGGCTCACGGTAGATCCTCATCACTAACTCCTTACCAGCTTCCAGCAACATCCTCCCCTAAATTGCATCCTGCACCAGGTCCCACATGACCAGACTGAAGCAGGAACCACTTCCCCTCCAGATTCGGATGTGGAACAGACATGATGACATTTGGCAATTCTAGAAGTTCAACACTTCTTCCTGGGTCCCCGTTACTGCTAATTTAGGAAAGACCCTGTGCTGATGGAATGTCTCCCAGATTGCTGTCGTTTCGTTAAATCTAAATTAAAGCTCTTCTCCCTCCTTCTAATACTCGTGTCCCCCCTCTCTCTCACTGACGTGTGAAGTTGAAGTGTTTCGGGGGAAGACAATGCAGCATGGGGTGCTGGTGAGCCACCTGTCTACTGGGGAAGGTCACCCCCAACTCCTCCTCTCTATAAGGGTCAGCTCAGCAGATAGGGAAGCTAGAAATCAAGGTAAAACATGGGCAAGTAGGGCAGGAAAGTGAAGATTAATATAATTACAATATTAATATAATTACATTAATATTAATAAGAATTAATATCAATATAATTATGATGTTAACATCATTACAATCACGAATCACTTAATGACAGGGAAGCCAAGAGTCTTACACTACACAATGAAATTCCAGTCAGTGATGGACCATATATACAACAATGGTTCTGTAAGTTACCATGGGCTGAAAAATTCCTGTCACCTAGTGATGTCACAGTCATCAGAATGTCAACGTACAATGCACTATTCACACCCTGAGAAAGGCATCATTAGGCAATTTCATCACGATGCAAACACCACTGAATGTACTTACACAAACCTAGAAGACACAAACTGCTTATCGTACTATATGATATAGATATGGTATATCCATGTCTGTGGCTCCAAGGATCACAGTGAGTGAAACACAAGATTAAGTCAAGCACAAGAGAAAATGTTGTAATCAAGAAATGTGATAAAGGCAAGACATTCAAGGCCACTGCCTACACAGCATGGCACATTGTTTGACAGCAAACTTTTTATACAAGTAAAAGGAGAATGCTCTATAATAATGACTGGAAAGTATAGTAAGTATATAAAGCAGTAACAGTTGCTTATTTATCATTATGATATACTGTACATAATTGTGTGTGCTATACTTGAATGGGGCTAGTAGTGTGGCATGTGTGTTTACACCAGCACCACACATAAGGACTGCATTAATGCTTCCATGTTGTGATGGCTACAACATCACTAGGTGATAGGGATTTGGAGTTCCACTGTAAGTTACAGGACCATCATCACATAGTCTGTCATTGCCTGGAACCTCATTGTGTAGAGTGACTCTTTGCTTTCCCCGGAAAGGCTAGGAGCAGCCTTCTACTGGATCCATTTCTATTTTCAAATTTTTCAAAATAATTTTCAGTTTTCAAAATGAAAATTCTAAAGGAATTGAAAAGAGAGATGTTTGGAAAGTGGGTCATTAAATACAGTATTGAAGCCGATCATTAGCTGATACTTTACTGTCCTTTCTGGATTTATGTTAACCACCACCCACTGACTGTACAGTGTAATTTATGGGGGTCAGCCTTTCCTACGCTGGGTAATAAGCATACCAGGCAGGAGGGCATCAAGGACAAAGGAAACACCCTATCTGTCTTGAGGACAGTTCAGAGGGCAGGCAAGTGTGTAAAGAACTAATTAAAGGCCATTCGAGGACTGCAACAGTGGGAATGTGTACAAGAGAGAGAGCAGGTGTGGAGGGTTTATTTTGCACATGAGAGAAATATGATCTTTGGCCAGAGATCAGACTGTGACACTTTGTAAATGCAGTTCCTGCGTGCTTTGTGACTCTGCCCGTTGGAAGAGGAGGCCTGTGAACTGGCCTCTGTGACTGCTTGGCTGATGGAATATGACAGAAGTGCTGCTGTACCAGTCTCCACGCACAGACCTTTAGGAGCTGGCCACTTCCACTTCCCGTCTCTTAGGCTGCTTGCTCTCCGAAGTCACCAGCATACTTGGAAGCAGCTCAAAGTAGCCCACCTGGGGTGAACACATGGTGAGGATGGGTTAGCATGAAAAGGGAGGGATGCTGGCCGGTTTCCACCTGCTCCTGCCTCTCGTGCTTCCAGCATGCGCCACTAGGCTCCACCAAAGAGTTCTGCTGATCTTACTGGGGTCTCTCATGTGCTGCACTGAGTAGCTGTCTGGAGCTGGGGCCATGTGAAGCCTTGACTATGATGGAGGGATGGTTGGCCTTCTTCCTCTGCATAACCTCAATGGCTTTCCATGCAGCTACCTTTGACTTAAGCACAGCATGGTGATATCAAAGGAATTGAACTTTCTCCATGGCATCTGGCTCCCTCAAATAATGGATATTGCAAAACAAGACAGAAGCTTCCAAGCTTTTTAAATGCCTGGATCAGAAGTCTTGATGCCAGCTCAGATTCGATGCCTAGGGTATTACAGCGAAGGCGTGACTACCATGAGGTCTGGCTCAATGATAGGGGCATCTTTGAAGACTGGATGGTTATGGTAGACATTGAGGCTTTATAAGCAGGTGGGGGGTTTGGAGGAAAAAAAAAACAATTATTCTAAGTAGACTAGGTCAAGAAGGCATGATCCATATCCTTTCTGGGTGACACCACAAGTATCTGGGACAGGCGTGAAGACTGCTCATATCCCTAGGGGAGGTGCAAGAGCCTTGTGGCTGAAGCACAGAGAGTCTGCCCATATACACCAGCAGCCAGTGCTACATCAATAGAGAAGCTTCAGTATGATCTCGATTTCCTCTGCCGCATTCTAACACAACCTCCTCATGTCCCACAGGAGCAATAAAATAAATACCTGCTGGAAACAAAGCAGGACATGAAACCAGTGTCTTGGCTCTATTTGTTGCCTGACTGTGCAAACATGGTAAAGGGCAAGGGTGGGGTGGGGGGGAAGTGTGAGCTAAAAATTAGAAGCAGAAAACAATTGTGAATTCTAACTTATGGTGAGAATCTCTACCTGATCTTCGCACGGCCCTGATTGGCTTTGTCTTTGGGGAGGGCTCAGCCCAACTTGGACTGAGGGGTGCTGGACAGTGCTGGTGGTTAGTAGGAGAGGAAAAACGTTCGCATATTGCCATACGCCTGCAGGGTGCCAAGCACTGGCTTACCTCTCTACAGTCATCCCCAAGCTTAATTCTCAAAGCAGGTATCCAAGCCACCATTTTATTTTCCAAGAAGAGGAAGCTGAGATGTAACTTGCCCAAGACTCCCCAGCTTCTAGGTATTGGAGACAGAAACAGAAATGACGGCTTGGGGAGCAGGTAAAGCTGCTGCCTGCAACACTGGGACCCCATATTGGAGCAGCAGAGTCCTTCTGATCCAGCTCCCTACTAATGCAGCTGAGAAGGCAGCGGAAGATGGCCCAAGTAGTTGGATCCCTGTCACCCACAAGAAAGACCCGGGTGGAGGTCCAGGCTCCTCTGCCCTGGCCACTGTGGCCACTTGGGGAGTGAACCAACAGAGGGAAGAGCTCTCTCTCTCTCCATGTCTCTCCCTCTCTGTCTACCACTCTGCTTTTCAAACAAAATCAAATAAATGTTTTTTTTTTTAAATGATGGGTTTCAACCCACATCCTTCCTATGTCCTACATGGTTTTTTATAATCTCCTTTCCAGCATTTTGTCATTCATACTGTGAATGAAGAAAGAAAGGACCTTACAGCTAACACAGCCCTTTTGTTGAGTTCTGTGGGATCACTCTGTACACAAAAAGTCTAACAACAGTTTCTAAAATGTAACTTAAGATTTGGAGCCAAAGGCACTCAAACTCAGAGCTTCCAATTCTTTTGTCCACTCCCTTTAAGAAAAGAAATCCCTCTATTCTATTGAAGAATTCTTACTTGAGTTCAGCTGGGAAAACTGGCAAATGCTCCTCTTATTGCTTCTATTTCTCTCATTTCTACAATGCTTCTGTGGCACAAGCTTTCACAGTCTGTTAAGCACACAGCAAAGTTTGGCAGGGCCAGTGGCTGCCAGCAGCACCGACCGTACCAGACCTCTCGGAGCAGCGGTGGTCACAGCCCAGCGACGCCGAGTCCTGTGGCATGGGGTCTCAGAATTGTAGGAGAAGCTGAACTCTCAAAACCCCATAAGTGTCTGTGACTTGTAGTGGCTTCAGGGTACAAAGGTGGTATCAGGGTGCCAGGGGACCAAAACCACACCAGCTCCTTTAACAGGGATCACTGAGCATGAAGAACTCAGCTAGGTACTGAGGAGCTGAAAAGACCAAAAGGGAACACAGAGATATCACGGTGGCTGCAACTGCTAGGACTAGAGGTTGAGGTTATAGACTTTACAGAGGGAAGGACACCTGTTGGCTGGTGCTGATGGGAGATGAAGCTGGTTCTGTCACTAGATTCAATTGTTACTGCTGCAAAGAACTACTGAGGCCAGGACCAAGCAGGCAGGAAGGAATCAGTTCCCCTCTTCTGCCTCCAAAAGCACCACAACCCTCTAGCACCCCCTACTGGTGGAGTCCATTGGGGAAGCAGCTGGCCAAGCAAAAGAGCTGTCTGCAGTTCCAACTCAACTGTTGCAAAGTTATGGGGGAGTTGGGCCTGAAGTTGAGACACTAGTTTGATAACTGGCATACTTAGTAAGATTTTGGAAAAAAAAATTTTGACATCAGAAACAACAACAAAAGCATCATAGCACCAAAAGGCACTCATCTTGGAAAATGCTTTGAATTTTAGCCACTTTTTTTTTTTATATTAAGCCATTGCCTTCGTACTGGAAGAGGAGAAAAGTGTTACGTTATTATTGGAAACCCTACATTCAAGTAATGCAAATCTGTCTTCAGGTTCATTTAGCAAAGTGACATTTAAATTACTAAGAAGAATAGAATAAACTCTATGTTATTTGCACTTCCCCAATACACTGGGATGAAATTGTCCTGGGATCAGTAACTGATTAAGCCGATTCTATGCCATATATATGTAGGATGTAGTTTTCAACCGGCCACAATCAAAATACAATTTACTTCTGTTAGTATAATAATGTGGCTGCTCTAAAAGGCATCTCTGGGTAAGCGTTTTTCATTTACATTTCTCCTGCTATTAGCATGGCGTTTTCAGAGCCTCGCTCTGTTTTCTCTCTGCTCTCAATTCCAAATCCTAGCCATGGAATTTTTTGAACTTTTGGAGTCGATCCTGGAAGGGGATCTTGATGCTTGGTAAGAATGGAGAGGGCTGGCGCCGTAGCTCACTAGGCGAATCCTCCGCCTGCAGCGCCGGCACCCTGGGTTCTAGTCCTGGTTGGAGTGTCGGGGTCTGTCTCAGTTGCCCCTCTTCCAGGCCAGCTCTCTGCTGTGGCCCGGGAAGGCAGTGGAGGATGGCCCAAGTGTTTGGGCCCTGCACCTGCATGGGAGACCAGGAGGAGAGGAGTCACCTGGCTCTGGCTTCAGATCGGCGCAGCGCACTGTCCGTAGTGGCCATTTGAGGGGGGTGAACCAACGGAAAAAGGAAGACCTTTCTCTCTGTCTCTCTCACTGTCCACTCTGCCTGTCCAAAAAAAAAAAAAAAAAAGAATGGAGAGGGCCACAATGTGGACTGTTGGGAAACCAGACACACATGGGCTAGCCTGGAAAATGGCAGTAAAAGTGGTAAAAGTGAGTGATTCCTGAAAAGGTGTTGGGCAAAAGGTAAGGAAGACCAGCAGAAGTGTCCCCAACAGTCTGCCATCTGCAAACCAGTAAAAGCCAGGATATAGTTTTATTTTTAAGATTTATTTATTTATTTGAAAGTCAGAGTTACACAGAGAGAGAGGAGAGGAAGAGAGAGAGGTCTTCCATCCAATGGTTCACTCCCCAATTGTCCGCAACAGCCAGAGCTGGGCAGATCCAAAGCCAGGAGCCAGGAGCTTCTTCCAGGTCTCCCACACTGGTGCAGGGGCCCAAGGACTTGGACCATCTTCTACTGCTTTCCCAGGCCACAGCAGAGAGCTGGATTGGTAGTGGATCAGCCGGGACTAGAACTGGCCCATATGGGATGCCAACGCTTCAGGCCAGGGCATTAACCCGCTGCACCACAGTGCCGGCCCCCAGGGTATAGTTTTAATCTAAGTCCCAAACTTGAGAATCAGGAGAGCCAATAGTGGAAGTCCCAGTCAGAATCCAAAGGACCAAGAACCAGGAGCTCCAGTGTTGACAAACGGAGGATGGATGCCTCATCTCCTAAAAGAGAGCAAATTCGCCTTCTTCTGCCTTTTGTCCTATTACACATTCAACAGATTGGATGATGTCTATCCACACTGGTAAGGAAGGATCTTCATTACTTGGTTTATGAATCTGAATGCTAATCTCTTAGAAACACCCTCACACGCACACCTAGGAGTGTTTTACCAACTATCTGGGCATTCCTTAGCCCAGTAAAGTTGACGCTTAAAATTAGCTATCAAACTGGTCTTTTAAAAAAGATTTATTTATTTACTTGAAAGTCAGAGTTACATAGAGAGAAGGAGAGAGAGAGAGAGAGAGAGAGAGAGAGAGAGAGAGAGACTTCCATCCGATGGTTCACTCCCCAGATGGCTGCAACAGCCGGAGCTGTGACAATCCTAAGCCAGGAGCCAGGAGCTTCCTCCAGGTCTCCCACATGGGGGCAGGGGCCCAAGGACTTGGGTCGTCTTCTACTGCTTTCCTGGGCCACAGCAGAGAGCTGGATTGAAAGTGGAGCAGCCAGGATTCAAACCGGTGCCCATATGGGATTCCGGCACTGCAGGCAGCAGCTTTACCTGCTACGGCACAGCGCCAGCCCCACTGATCTTTTCAATCCAATTTTTGTTCCCTTCCGATCTATTCTCAGTGAAATAACCAGAGTAAGATTTTGGCAATTCAAATTGGACCATGCCCTGCTTTTACTAAAAAGCTTTCAGAAGTTTCCATTTCATTAGATTCAAATAAGTATTTTTTAAAAGATTCATTTATCTATTTATTTATTTGAGAGGCCGAGTTACAGAAAGAGAGAGAGAAAGAGAGAGAGAGATCTTTGATCCACTAGTTCTCTCCCCAGATGGCCACAACTGCCAAGGGTGGTCCAGGAAGTCAGGAGCCTGCAACTCTATCCAGATTTCCCAAGTGGGTGGCAGGGGCCCAAGTACTTGAGCCATCTTCCACTGCTTTCCCATGGAAGCTGGATGGGAGGGGAGCAGCCAGGACACAAACCGGCACCCATATGCGATGCTGGTGTCACGGGTGGCAGTTTAACCCACTGTCCCACAATGCTGGCCCTCAAAATCAGTGTCAAGGCCCCTGGTGATCTCATCCTTGTTCAGCTGACAGTTCTTTGGATGCCATCCTCCCTGTTCCGGGGTGCTGTCTGGTGCCTGCTCATCTGGCCTGCCCGACCTCTTGGAAATCGTCTCTCCTCCATGTCTTATGTATATGCCTCCTGCTTATCCTTTATCATGGAGCTCGGGGGTCCCTTCCTCAGAGGAGCCACCCTTACTCCTTCAGCCCTTTCCTTTCAGCCAAAGGAAGTCCCTGTGTGGTTCATTCCTTCCTAGATCTTAGCCTTAACTCAGACCCCAGGCACATTTCTTTAGCTCACCTCCTGTTGCCTACTTGAAAGTAAACCTTGGGAAGACTAGGATCTTGGTCTTCTCCTTCTTAAATTAGCTTTTGGGTTCCTGGTGCCTAACATAGGCCTGGCATATAGTAAGTACTTAGCAATACAGCATCATCCCACGTTGTCAGACACAAATATCTTCAAAAACCACTGTCCTCTGACATGGAGAAGAGTGTATGGCCCAAGTTTATGTTTCCAGGGGCTCCTTGCTGCTGTGGTGTCAAGCCACTCTCTCCCCTGGGCATCCCTGACACTTTCCTTTTC